GTTTTTATAATATAACAACTTGTGTGAACATTAGGCTTACATGTATAATCTCTTTTACGTTCAGTATTTGGAATCTCGCGCTCTAGCCCTTACTGTTCTTTTTCTCTACCTATAGGTTTGGATCACCACTGATGCTCTGTAGTTGTTGGTTTGAATTTTGATTATTTATTGCTTTTTCTCTGTCCCCTGGGGTTCGATTCCCTGAGGTGGGCACAGCAGGCAACCCAATGTGGCTTTGTTCTAAAACAAACTCTTTCTCTGCCAATGGGTTTGGATCACAAGACGCTCTGTAGTTGTGGATTTTGGATTATTTATAGCTCCTTTTCTACCCTGTTTAACAGTTTCGCTATGTGGTTGTGGATTTTGGATTATTTATAGTTATATTTTACCTATATTTGGATCACCAGTGTTGCTTGTTCTCTAGTAGTAATTGATAATTGGATTATTTAGATCGTTTTCATACTGTTTAAGGTATTATGAATTATCTGAGTGATACTTCTTCACAAAGTACAGTCTTTGTTCCACCAAGTGATTCTGTGAAATGAATTATCATTTTTTCTGTTTAATGAAAGTGAATAAAATAATTACCGAGTATATTATTTCTGTGAAAGATAACGTGATTATTAACTAAGTTTTTGCTAGATAACAAAGGGTAAAGGAATGATATAAAATGATTGTACAATATTTCGCTGCCCAGACACATATGTAGATACCTGCACGTGCTTTATACAAACAATGCACGTGGTTTGCAATATGGCAACTTTTAGTGTCCATGCGCATTATTTGCTGCATACGGCTAAACGCATAAAATATACGCAGATTGCAGAATTATATAACCTTTTTTATTATCACAAAGCAACAAAATAAAAAAATGTTAGACCCCTAAATATGGTTTTCTTCTGTTAAAAATATCGACACGGGTCTGTGCGCGAAAAGCTAAAGAAGCCTAACACAGCACATCGTTTTGAGAACATGGTGATAATTAAAATTATCAGTACATATTATAAATGGGTAAAAAATATTAGTAATTTTCAGATGTCGCCAGATACGAAATTCTAACATATTTGACAGGTGTCCGAACGAGTCATCTTTTAATTTTTTTTTATTTGTTATGTCTTCAGCATAGTAGGAAATCGTAACCCACAGAAAAATAAGGCTTAATTAACACGTACGTACAGCAGGTGTTACTAAATACGTATGGTCAAGCAGAGGTGTCGCTAGGTGCTTAAAAAATTCTGGGCTCTGGTCCATAGGCGCGATAACTTTCGACGTTTCAGTATGATATCGATCGTGGTTTTCTATTCTGATTTTTCAAGACACCAACTAGGCTTTCGGGGCCCCTGTGCCAGCGCCTAGCGACGCCCCTGTGATCAAGTATTAACATCCAAAAGTCCAACGACCTTTTCCTCAACAAAGTCATTAGGTCTTTCATTAGGTTAGTACATCCATTAACGAGCACTTGACATTACGCTTCACCACGGGGCATCTTCAGATTGCTAGTGTAAAGAAAGCAATTTTCCTGCCAAGCGTTGTTTCATTTTTTATACCATCTATTGTGTTGAGTTCACGTAGTTCCAGTAGTCGATATTAAAGCAGATAACGTAATAACATCCCCTCCGGTAGATGGCTAGCAGGCGGGACTAAGTCACGCTTCGAACGTCAGAGGAACATTTTTGTTCATGGTATAAAAAGACCTGTGAAAAACAGTTTTATCTCACGATAAGTCGAGATGAGAAAAAAAAAGACAGAATTCACAGAGATCATCATCCTGTGAAATTTTGTTTCCAAGGGTGTAGAAAAAGATAGATATGATATTCATATTTCAAAATAACAGTATCTAAAAAAGGTTATCACTTGAGCTTTACCTCATCTGTTCACCTGGTTTGAACGTAATCTTTTTGGAAGTCAAGTTAAAGTTGTATTATTATGCTCTTCTTGTTCTCTTTTGTTATTATGAATTAAGTTTGGACTTTATTTTAAAAACATGTAGTCGTGTAATGATGCAAAATTCATACATCAGGAATCCATGATACTTCCAAGTCTGTTGTTAACCATGCACACAGAAGTCATCTTTGTGCTTCTCTAAAAGTCTGTTTTTTTTTTCTTTTGTTACAATTGATCAGGATGTCATTAGCCTTGCAAAAACGTGTGGAAGCTATCCTGTTGAATTGGGGGAATCCTGTACACTCTTCTATTCATACACACCATTACTCTGTTAGTAAGGCTGTAAATGCTACAAAATGTGAGTCACAGCTTGAGGGAAACAGTGATTTTGTATCCGTAAGTCAACGGTGCGCATTTTAGTAGCTGCTAATGGAAACATATTATGGTAGCGTGCAAATTTTCCATCATTATGAATATTATCAAATAAACTTTCGAGGCTTCTTGTTCGTAGTTTATGTTTTGTCTTTCCTTTTAACGTTTCATTTAAAGAACGAACTCTTATTTTTCGTTTCTGGCACCAGGTTCAGCAGCTGCTAGCATATTTTGTTCTCAATCGTAGGAATTGAAAACGATGATGTTCTGTGTGCCACACCAACATGTATGGTTTCTACGAATTTAGTCTTAGTTTTGAAAATAGTTGTATTCAACAGTGTTGTTTCTCAGAGGACAAATCGGTTTTTAAACAGAAAATACTCCTTCGCGCCAAAAATTGTAATATATGCTTTAAGAAAGTAAATATTCGTTGAAACTTTACACGTAGCAATAAATGTTAGTGATTCAAGCCATTTGAAACCTGTTTTTTTTTCCTTAAATATTCTCTAAACTACGTTTCATTAAAATAGCCAATCACTATACGCTAGCGATGCTAGTAATTAGTTTGTATAAAAGATTTCAATGTGAAATAAGGTTTTAATAGCTAAGGACTTTGAACTTATCATCATATTCTGTCTAACCCCTCAAGCTAATCGAGTCTAACCCCTCCAGCTAATCTAAATTATAATGAGAAGTCTTTCAGCATGCAGCAAATACCCCACTCCCCCTAAGACAATTTGGTTTCGTCTGCATGCTCAACATCTAACTTGGAATGTTCCTTCCAGGTGTTTCTGTCATTCTAATGTTCCACAGGTTTTCAACGTATGAAATGTCGGTTGAAACCACAAGATCTCTCATTTATTTTTGTAATTTGAACGCATCTACCCCTGATAATTAATCCACTGAACCAATAAGTCTTTTGGGTTTATTACGATGCTAAAAGTCGGGTTTCGATAACCGTGGTAGACTGAGTACATGTAGTCCACTGTGTAGATGTGTGTTTAAACCAAAAAACTATTCTTACATTTAAGTTATTAATTAAATTTTTCAGTTAATGAACTTGTTTTATTTCTATGTACGATCAGAATAAATAATAAAATATAATAATGATATTTTAGTTAATATAATGACAAAGTATATAATAATAACATTAGGAACCTGCTCATGCTTCGATCGAGTTATTGTGAAGATCTGTGACTTTAACTTAATAATATTCGTAGCAGTTTGATATTACGCGTTGTTGTTAACTAAATAAGTTAATCAATAAGTTACTGAAGTTGGAACAACTTAATCCTAATTATTGTTGCACAACAAAGTGTTTTTGATCAGTTTCGGTACATAAGCATGTCATGTTTTTAATTCCCCCTTTCTTGTTGTTTTCAGTTCTAGTCTCCGTGATTTCTCTTCCAAGCGTCAACAAGGATGTCGTGAATGGAGAGATGGTTCGTCTCCAGTGTAGGTTTAATCCAGCGCTATCTTCCGGGAAAGTTTTATACTACTGGATCAGGACAAACAAGGATGGGAAAGATAATGCTGCTATCAGCGATGTAGCCCTAGATCCACACTACCAAGTTGAATTTACTCCGAGTGAAGGCAGATATGATCTCTTTATCACACACGCCAATTATGACACGGACAATGGTCATTTTGAATGTAAACTGAAGGAGGGGGGCAGTGGAGCTGACATCCACAACATGGCCTTCACCGTCACAGTCCTCAGTAAGCAGAAATGGAACCTTGGAAACTATTAAATGTTACATAATATCTCAATGAAACTATTAAATATTATCACAGTATTTTATGTACTTTTTGTAAACAATGACTCAAAGCATACAAATATTTACTTCATAAACTGCGCGTAAAGTCATAAAAAGTTCCAATGCTACAAATTTAGCCGATTTGACAAATTCGCTGAAAGCTACGTGGGAATTTCATTTCTCTTGCAACTACTTTAAAAAAGAACAATCACGATTTAGCAAGATGATACAACGTATTGGATAAAGATTAATGAATAACTGGTGATTCTGAAAACAACGAGTTAGGCATATTGGCATCTGTTATAGTATAGCTCCCCAATGGCTCAGCAGTAAGTCTGCAGAATTACAATGCTAAAATTCGAGTTCGATACCCGTGGTGGGAAAATCACGGGTAGCCCATTGTGTAGCTTTGTGCTCAACAGCAGTCAAACTATGCATAGTATATCTTAAAGAAAAATGTAGTAACTGACCAAGTAACTGAGACATCTCATAGTCATTCGTTTAGTTTGTTTGTTTTTTGAACCTCGCCCAAAGCTACACGAGAGCTATCTGCGCTAGCCGTCCCTAATTTAGCAGTGTAAGACTAGAGAGAAGGCAGCTAGTCATCACCACCCACCGCTAACTCTTGTCTAACCGAATTTTACCGTCACTCTTATAACGCATTCGCGGTCCTATAGTTTGGAGTGCGCTTTTTCGGCAACGAGACTCGAATTATTAATATTCGGATTAACATTCCGCGCACGATAACTATTGGGTCAGTCCTAGCCCATAGATGATACTAGACCTATTCTTATGTACTTGTTAATGTGTAAAAAAACTTGATAATTTCCAAATATTTAAACGCTGTGAATCTGCTTGTTTCTTTTGAATGCAAAGTCGTACAGTGTACGCGTAGCAGGGAGCGAACCTCGAATTTCAGTGATAGAAGTCTTTGAGATTACCGCTGAGCTACTGTGTTTTAATTAAAATGTTAGCCAACAGAAAAGGCTATAAATATTTTCATGTTGCCATAATTTTTCTTGTAAACAAAATGTTATTATTGAAAAAATACAGTATTGAATATTTCATATTATCAACTAAAATCGTTTAGCTTCATAATTTTTAACGACAGAAGTTAGTAATATATCGAAACAATTCAAATTTTTCCAGTCCCACCAGGACCACCAAACATTATTCCCACTAACCCTACAGCGAGAGAAGGAGAGCCATTCACTCTTACATGTTCTAGCGAAGGGGGTAGTCCTGATCCTCTCATCCAGTGGTACAGGAAAGGAACCCCACTACAAGGTCAGCTTCGGAAAGGAGGATCGCGCGATAAGCCTACCTCTAGCGTCTTAACAATATCTCCAAGAATGGAAGATGACGGTGCCATCTATCGGTGTACTGTGTGGAACCGAGCCATTCTTGAGGAACAGAGATTAGAAACCAGTAATACGTTAAAAGTTCATTGTAAGTAAAGGGAAGGAAGATTTAGCCTCACATATTTATCTAATTTAGTTTCTGCAGCACATTTGAGCTATGATTTTGTAGCCTTTAAAATATATTAAACATTTCTTATTTCAGTATTAACAAAAATATTAGATTAGTAAAAGAGTATTCTGAAACATTTATTTAGTGTAAAAGTAATTTATTTAGACTTTGACCCTGTATACTGGTAAATGATGATCTATACAGAACTAATTTAGAAATGTGTTTTAAGTAAATTATGAAAGCAAAAATGTTAATATTTAAATAATATGGTTTTAAGCACCAATATGTAATATTTGGCTTAATTTTACTTTCTTTTCAAATTTGGCTTCTTAAAATTAACATAGCTTATGTGCTGAAAATAAGCTGAAAATTATATCTTTTTGGGGATTCTTGTGTAATTTTTAATCATTAAAGCACTCACCTTCTTCTTTAACTTTTTAGATTCCCCAAGAATATCCTTTGGGCCCTATAATCCTTTGAGTGTATTAGCCGGAAAAGATGCAGTTCTGACCTGTTTTGTTATAGCTAGTCCTCCTGTCCATTCTGTTCGTTGGATGAAAAACGGCCACCTTTTGTCCAACACTCACAAACACACCATTTTAGGTGTAACTCCAGATGACAGTGGAATTTACACTTGTATCGCAGATAACGGGGTTGGAAAAGCCAGCCAAGCCGATCTTAAACTTTCTGTTTTATGTGAGTTGCATCGTTATGTTATGTTTATTTATTGCTTTAGTTTTCAGATTCCAACTAACTAACTAATATATTTTCTATTGGTTGTTGTTTTTCCTTCGAAAATAAAGATAACCGTTATTACTTCTGCGTTCTTTAGATGAACCTAAAGTCACTGTTGACAAGCAGAAAGAAGTATCAAAAGGAGAATCTTTATCAGTAAAATGCAATGTGGATTCAAACCCACCACCCAACTCGTTGATCTGGTTAAAAGAAAATGACCCTTTTTTCCGGAAAAGCGGCGACACTTTGCACCTTAAAGCAGTATTTCCTGATGACTCTGGAAAGTACATTTGCCAGGCAACCAACATTTTGGAGGCATCCGGTTCTGGAACTCGGGAACATTCCAGAAGCAACGCAACCGTTATTGTTCACGTGCGACGTAAGAAAATCATCCACCATTTTTCTGATGTGCAGTGTTGCAATATAATTATCGCAGAATTACTTAACCTGTCTATAATTATACTAATGTGATGTCTATACTTAGGATCATCTGTATGGCATGCATAAGAAAATTATAATACATTTAAGTGATTCATCATTTTTAGTTTCTTGTGTCTAAAAACTTGACTCATTTACAAACATTGGTAAAGAAGTCGTCTATGGATAACGTTATTTATTTAGCTGATTGTCAGTGTTTAATTATGGTTAACGTTTCTTTGTTTCCAGACAAACCTGGGGATGTTGAAATTGTCCCTAACAACAACCCAGTGGCTGTAGCCGGACAGCCTTTCACGTTGACTTGTTTAGCACGTCCTCGAGGATGGCCACTACCGGAGTACCGCTGGTGGAAGGAAGGTAAAGAAGGTACAAACTTAGCTAGAAGGATAAACTATACTATCGTACCAATACACGTGAGTCACGAAGGCCAGTACTACTGTCAGCCTCGGAACCCTCTTGGTCAAGGCAGCATAGGATCTGTTTATCTCACTGTTCATGGTAAGTAACGTTTATGTATCATTCGAAGTACGACATTTAAAAACTACAAGTATTCACATAAAATATTAAGGTCCTGTTTACCTCACAACTGCTCATGGTAAGTAATACAAGTGTATCAGTCGAAATATGTTATTAAAAAAAATTCATCTATTTACCTCACTATTCATTGTAAGTAACGTTTGGACGAAGTATGGCAATTTAAAAACACAAAGTATTCCTCAAACTTCTTACAGTGGAAATATACGGAGGTATGCATGAGCCTAAATAATGTATTATCCAAACTAACGACCTGTTGTAGAACAATACTTTTGCGACTACAATTTTACAAATATCTTCCATTCATAAAGAAGAATTTTTATTTCACCTTATAGAAAGATTGAATTCAAATATAGAACTTTTTCATATGTATAGGCCTGTCATGGCCTGATGGTATGACACTTGACTCTCGCGGGTCGCGAGCTCAAATCTCGTCACTGAATATGCTCGCCCCTTCAGCCATGGAGGCGTTATAATGTGACAGTCAATCACCCTATTCGTTGGTAAATAATAGCCGAAAGTTGAAACGTTATTAACTATCTGTAATCATCTTTTATACAGCAGATGAGCGGAGATAGCAAATAACAAAAATTTTATATGACACAATTAAAGGCTAAGTGATAATAACTTATCTACCAATAGAGGGTGATAATGTTAAAGATTAGACATTATTGATCAAACTGATGTATTTTCATGCGACACTGTCCTGTTGTCCACAGAAATTTCTTCAGGGGTGCAGAGTCTAAATCTAAATATATATACACTGTATATTGTTACGACACCGGAAGTCACGTGACGCTGGTAACACGTCATGAGATTCTAGAAGGATCATGAAGGCCCGAGCCCATTCTAGGCACCCTCTATTTTAATATATAAATCCGGCAAATAAAGTGGAGAGAAGTGACGGCATAGAGAATTGCAGATAGATGGAGATAGAGACAGATAATTGAGTCAAGTGAGCGGTAGTGACCGTAAGTAAAGGGCGTGAATCGTTGTGAATTACAGTGTGTGTTTAAGTTAAAGTGACTGTGGAAATTCTGTGTATTGCAAAGTTGTATTGAGAAAGAACAAACTAGTTTTATTTAAGAAAGGACTTGTATCGCTGAAGTTCCTCGGGAAGAATTTTTACAGAAAATTAACAAACGACTAGAGACGTAACAATATATACTCTGAATGAATAAAGAAATATGTCCCCCCTCCCCGCGAACGAGTTATGAAGGAAAGTTTTGTAAATTGTACCGTATCTCATTTAAATAAATTAAAATTGCGATCAGCGTTAACTGCATGTCCCCTACAGGTTGTAGGTAGTGTGTTCTGTTTTTGTGGTAAATGTGTGTGTGTGTGTGTGTGTGTGTGAGTCACGTAAATAGATTACAATAGGAAAAATATTATGCACTATTTAATATGTATAATCATATAGACTAAGTTGCTTTGCCTTTATAATAATGCTTCTTAGTCTGAGGTCGATGACTTTACGATGCGGATACCTAGACAAACCTTGCCTTCCAGGCAAACATGATTTGGGCTCCCGTATTAGTTTAACCGCTGTTGGAAACCCAAGCCTGTTAACTGTGGAACGTTCACATTGTAGATATCATTATAAGTGGCCTGTTTGGTTTAAATGATAAATTTTTATAGACGTTATTTGTTTATAATGTTCCATTGGTTAATGATAGCTGTGGCATGTTATGAATTGAAAATACCTACACTCAAGTAAAACCATTGATATATATATATATATATATATAATGCCTAAAAGTTCTGTTTGTTGAAAACAGACTATGCTATAAATGTGTCGTCAATTTCGTTAACCCGAACTTATATGCATGAACAGAGTGTTATAGATTTAGTTGTTGTAATAAGTTTATTATTATTATTAGAACCACCATCTCTTGTGATACCTTTGAGGCCGCAAGTAATTAAGCGAGATGGAGATGCCAGTTTCGGTGTTACTTGCAAGGCTCGTGGGAAGCCCAAACCTAAGATCCAGTGGCTAAAAAATGGACAAGAAATTTCTGAGAAAACAGATTTATTTTCTATTGAAACTACTGACTATGTAGAAGATAAGAATGCATACTCTGTGCAAAGTACTTTGACCTTTCAAGGTCCAGGTAGAGCACGAGAAACCCTTTCTCTCACCGACAGAGGGCAATATACTTGTGAGTTTAAGAACGGATTTGGAGAACCTGCAAAATCTGAAATGATGCTTCGAATAGAACGTAAGACATTTTATTTTAGTTGTACCTTAATCTAATTTTTTAATGAGAACGTTTAGAATATAGACATTTTTTAAAAGTTTATTCAGCTTGTTTTGAATTCAAACTAACACTGTTGAACGTTCTTAGTTTCGCAACAGATAAAAACTAGCACGAGTTAGACGCGCTGACACTGTGCACAGTAAAACTAAATCAAATGATTTAACTACATCATTACATGTGACATATGCAAGTTATGTGTTTCGTTAAAATAAACCACTAACGAAAACAAAATAAGTTTGATATTTTTTCTTGTGTCATATCAGGAAAGTTTTTGTTACTACTACTGGTATACATTTTGAATAAACAGAGATTTCTGAAAAATAATACAAACGTTTTGTTCGATTTCGTGTAGATTCACCTGTTGTTAGACATACTTACAATCGCATGGCGTTTGACAATGGAGAAACCGCTTTTCTACAATGCAAGATGCAAGCTTATCCTGAGCCATCTTTTGAGTGGTCTTTCAAAGGACGCATCTTGGACAATTATGGAAATTATGGAACCAATGTTACAGATCTTGGGGAGGACATCTTCTTAGGATCTTTATCCATCAGGGATGTGAAGGATTCAGACTATGGTGATTACACATGCCAAGCCTGGAATCAAGTTGGTGATGATGAAAAGACCATCATAAAACTTGTCAGAAAAAGTAATAAAAGCCTCTTCACAATTTTTATGCTAAAATACCTGTACTCTGGTAGAATAAAGAAATCCTAAACATATTTGATAATTCCTTTATTATTTTAATTTTTGAAAAATAATATGGTTATGTCTCCAGATTAGGGAAAATAGAATGCATGTGTTTATTAAACCGGACAATAGTAAGCCCAGTATTATTTCATTCTGATACAAATTTTGCTATTAATGTTGATGTTATTAATTTTCATAAAATAATATAGCTTTTGGTTATGCCCCTATCAGAGGTTATGCAATAAGTGAAACCTTCTGTAGTGGGTCAAAAATAAACTAAAAATTAGCTTTATTACATAAATCAGAGGATATCTATAAAGATTCCGTTTTCTAATTGGATAAATTATATTAGCAGTGACATGTGTCTCAAAGACTGTGGATTATAAATTTTTGTACTGAAGACATTAAATTGCTAGGTAATGAATATATAGCTGAAAATTTTCTTTCAAAACAAAAGTATTATAGCCATTTATTTGGAATAGAGAGGCCAAGAAATGACTTAAATTTGCCTGATAAAACAAATATTGATAATATGGAGATAGGGAGAATTTTAATGTAATTGTTGAAAAAAAAATCCTAAAGTGTTTGATAATGTGTGTCATTTAATGTGTTCTTATAACTATCTTCTCTACAGGTGCCCCAGATAGACCTACAGGTCTTGATGTAATGGATGTTAACTCCAATCAAATCACATTAAGATGGACTGAAGGATTCAATGGAGGCTTTTCAAATACAGAATTTATAGTCACATACGTAAACCTTGAGACAGGACATGCCAAAAATGAATCCTGTCGTAACCAGAACCCTTGTCAAATTACAGGTAACTGAATTATTTATTGGTGTACTTTTTTTTATCGTAGTGTAATCATGTAATATCATAAGTTTTAAGAATTTATTTATGATATTAGTTTTCCTTATGCAGTCCCACATTTAAATTCAGTTAACACTGCTCACTGCCTTGTAAACTTGTATGTATGTAAAACTACTATGTTATAAGTTGAAAATGTAGTTACGAAGCAGCATAATGGACTCCTATTTCTTTTATTATTCTCCTTAAAAGAAAAGTAAGAAATTGGTAGCTAGTAAATAGAAAAGTAATGCATAAGCTAGAAATCATACTAAAATATAGTATTTTAGTGTTCCTTAAGTACAACTTAAATCTTTATTACTTTTATTGTAATATTTTTAATAATGATGTTGCTAGATAACTTGAATTTATCATTAATAGTTCATTAATGTTCTCTTTAAATTTAGGACTTCAGTCAAAGACTAACTACAGATTTAAAGTCATGGCTGTAAATCCACGTGGTTACAGTCCATATTCTGATGATATAGTTGTTTCCACAAAAGGTAATTTTTATAAATTAAAAAAAGTATGACAGTTGTGTTTATTTGTGATTTTTGTAAACAATTACTTTATATCCTGTTATAAACAGATAGGTTTTAAAAGTCACATAAAATTTTACAAAATAAAATGAACTATTATTCATTGCAGATTAAGTGAAATAGCTGGTTTCACAAATTTAATGTTGATGTTACTTAACCTAAAATACTGACTTCCTATAACTCCAATATTTCTTTATATAGCAAAATTAAATAAAATTATACTTTTTTCTAAAGAATCCAAATGATTACTAATTGTTGTATTGTTTCCTTTTTTTACAGTGAACCTAAAAGGTAAGCTGAATTAATATTTCCTGACTTAAGTTTTCTATATACAAATAGGTAATTCACAGAATACACAATCAATTGTAATACAAGCTTATTAGAATGTAATCTGTTTTTCTATTATTAAATGTTATATATAAATAACTGAATTGGATATACCATTTGGTAAAGCATAGGATGTTTAAAGGTTGTGTTCCTAACATTCATTTAACAGTATATCATAAAAGATACAGTTTCTCAAACTAAATATGTTCTTTATTAACACTAATTTAAAAAATAGTTTCAAACTTTAATAAAATTTACTGGACAGATATATATTTTTCAATAAACACTGATATTACATTCAATACTTGGATATAACCATGGGTGCCCATATGGAGAATCATAAAGTATTTGTATTTTGATTTCATAATTTTTTCAAACTTGGGTTACTTGACCCCCTAATTTTTTTTCTGCGGCCACCGTTGGATATAACATATCATTTTTCAAAGTATAACACCAAATTAATGACTAAATGTTACTTTGTCATTGTAATATGTTACTTTTAATGTTTGTTTCAAAATTACTATATCATATAAAGATATGTAAACATCTACACAAAATTGTCCTTCTAGATATGCCTCGTGCAGCTGTTGCTCAGTATGATAGGGGGTCACACCATGTGTTTTTTCGAGTGAGCCCTACAAGTTTCAGTTTACTTGCTAAGGTGAGAGACACTTTTATCCTGTAGATGTTTCATAGAAGAGTAAATAAAGCATTAATAATATTGCAGAGGTCAGTTATTGTTTATCTCAATTTTAATTTTTATTAAAAATCAATATTTTAAAGTTAAATTAACTCAAGTTTTTTATTTTCATAGTGACTCAGAAATATAGATATACATTTATATGTTATTTTTATTCTTTGAGACATTAGAAAGTGGCTACAATGTTTCACATGTAATCTTCTTTCTGGAGCATTAGAAAGTTATTATGGTGGTTTATACATCAAGTCTTCTTTCTGTAGCATTAGAAAGTTATTATGGTGGTTTATACATCTAGTCTTCTTTCTGGAGCATTAGAAAGTTATTATGGTGGTTCATACATCTAGTCTTGTTTCTGGAGCATTAGAAAGTTATTATGGTGGTTTATACATCAAGTCTTGTTTCTGGAGCATTAGAAAGTTATTATGGTGGTTTATGCATCAAGTCTTCTTTCTGGAGCATTAGAAAGTTATTATGGTAGTTTATACATCAAGTCTTGTTTCTGGAGCATTAGAAAGTTATTATGGTGGTTTATACATCAAGTCTTGTTTCTGGAGCATTAGGAAGTAATTATGGTGGTTTATACATCTAGTCTTCTAGAGCATTAGAAAGTTATTATGGTGGTTTATACATCAAGTCTTGTTTCTGGAGCATTAGAAAGTTATTATGGTGGTTTATACATCAAGTCTTGTTTCTGGAGCATTAGAAAGTTATTATGGTGGTTTATACATCTAGTCTTCTTTCTGGAGCATTAGAAAGTTATTATGGTTTACATCTAGTTTTGTTTCTGGAGAATTAGAAAGTGGCTTTGGTGTTTTACATGCATTGTTTCTTGGATGTTATCACCTTAAAATTAGGATAATTATAAAATGGTTTTGTGGTTTCAGAGACTAATAATATGTTTCGAAGTTTTAAAATCGGACTATGATATCCTAGAAAATATTATAATTTCAAAAAACATTAATTTAGGAAATTAGTAGACTGATGTTGCTGAATATGATATATCTGTCACAAAATAAGTAGACCTGAAGTTTTAAATGGAGAAAATAAAACAGGCTTTGATTTTGAACTTACAGTGTTATGGTAAGATTTTTGTGTTAACATTATATTGTTTTAAGAATAAGATATTACCTACAAGTAAAGAAAAACTTTTCAAAAAAAAGAAGTAAATGTAGTGACGGCTAATATCAATCCTTAAAAAACAATGCAAACATGATAGTTGGGATGGTATTTGCATTATCCTTACATAATAGGACAGGGACACAGTGTAGTAGAATGTTAATAGACAAAAATAGGATAAATTAAACTTAATTGTAATTGAATAGTTATATATATATATATATTGCTATATGTTAATTCTTGCCCATCATCTTGCTTGCATTGTTTTTGAAGGATTGATAATAGCCATCCCAACATTTACTTCATTTCTTGAAAATATTTTTCTTTACTAGTTTGCTTGTTTTTTTCATGCAGTGTTTCAATAGGCATAGGAAGGTCGTATTTATAACTAAGTTCTAAATACAATG